CTCTATGGACTCGGTGTCGACTCGGACTCGACTCTCTCTGGTCTCGGTCTCGACTCGGACTCGACTGTCTCTGGTCTCGGTCTCGACTCGGACTCGAGTGAGGTGGTCTCGACTACAACACTGCGATTTTCACATAAAACTAAATGTTACTCTTCTGTTGTATGACAAACTGCAACGTTTTTGACTTTCAGAATTATCTTTTAAATTGACAAACATCATATGTGTAATTGAGGGCACAGTTCAGACAGAATAAAAAGATAAGTTGTCTCTCTCCATTGACTACCATTCATATTTTTTCCCAAATAAGGTCCCATGAGCCGGAAGCGGAGGGGCGGGACTTAGGCTCTCTATGGCAGTGTGAAGGTTCAAGGGAACTTTTTCAGAAAGTTTTTGGCAAGCTGTTTCGAAATCCCCAAATGAAATCTCCAAATAAAGAGTTTTGGCCTGATTTTGTTCAAAATGACCTCACATAGGATAGTTCTTCGATTTCGCTTGAAGTATATTGGTGCGTTGAAGGCGAATGTCAACCAGCACGAGCGTTCGGCGCCTGCATGCATGTAAATATCTTTATCAGCAGGTATCAATAGTCTTCATCACTCAGAAATGAAAACTGAAACTAGGTCTGCAGATATAGCATTGCGTGCTTATCGTTTTGCATATCAATCATGCAGATTTTTAGCTGACTGTGCTACTAGTCCAATTAAAATCAGATTATTATGGCACATGTATACAGCTACTGTCTCTCTCTCTCTCTCTGTCATTCACTGCTAACAGCTCACAGCCCAAAAAAAGGCTGGTGTATTATTTAGTAAATATGTGTGTGTTAGCAAAGATGCATGATTATTAAGAGTCTAGTTTAACCTCTGAGACTGATTTGATTGTTTTTGATGGATTCAGGACTTTGCAAACCAAGGTTGATAATAAAAAGCTGTTTTGTGCAGGCATTAACTGAGATTGGTTGTGCAGGCATTAACCGTGAGAGTCATTAAGCAGGACAGGAAGAAGCTCTTTCACCTAAAATAAACACACGAGACGTGCGCTATACCCACTCTTCATCTCGGAAGGAAACCCACCACAGACGGTTTCAGTTTGACTCAGACCATGAGCTGCTAGAGTCTCAATGTGAGGCGACAGACATTAATTAGACTATCCAGCTTTTATGAAGAAAATGATTCACATGTTTGTTTTGTTCTGTTTGTGCTGGTGGCGTCTGACTGGTAAGTTATCGTTTATTTTTATTTTTTGGGCTTAAAATCAGTAACATTCTTCACAGATGATAAAAGTCATGGAAAATAATGTAAATTGCTATGATGAATGTAGACTCATCCAGTGGAGACTTTTTTCCATTATGTCACTTTCAAATCTCAGGCTTGCATGACTTAGGACAGAGCCAGGAAATCACAATGTTTAAATTACCTAAACTTTGCAGGTTTGTCCTGATAGTGTATCAATGTGGTGCTTTGACTCAAGCTAAATTTTGAGCCAGTTGCTTGTGTGAAAGTCAGTGGCCATTCTGAGAAGTGATTAGACACGAGGTGATCGGAAAGCCGTATAAAACTGTTTTAAAAAAGAGATATGAATGTAGAGCGGAAGCAAACCATAAAGAATGATAAAAAGTGCTGAAAATGAGAGGGAGAGGTGTGAAGGCACACAACCCACAAGGCAGGCGAAAGAAATGCGCCATATATATACATCTAATTAAATATATATTTCAAATATTGCATGCTTTCAAAAATGAAGCATCCTACAAATGCTTCAGCATCACACAAAGCTCATAGTTTTATACAATCACTGTGATCTAGATAGCAGATGTTTAAAACTCCATTAATATCATGTTCGTATATAAGAAGTGTAAATCTGTGTGTTCATCAGGTGTGTTTGGTGATTCAGTGTCAGCGATGGAGGGAGATTCTGTTACTCTACACACTGATATTACTAAAATACGTAAAGACGATGATATACTGTGGAAATTTGGAGCTGAAAAGTCTCTCATTGCTAAAATGAATAAAAAGAAGCAAATCTTCACCACATATGATGATGTTCCTGATGGGAGATTCAGAGACAGACTGAAGCTGGACAATCAAACTGGATCTATGACCATCACACACACCACAACTGAACACACTGGAGTTTATACACTAGAGATAACTGGAGTGAAAAAATCATCAAAAACATTCAGTGTTTCAGTCTATGGTGAGTAGCGACGTAATTTTGTCCAAACATATTCCTGTTTTAGTAAAGAAATATTCAGCATGAATTCAATTCAATCCACAGCATTTGTGGCACTGATTATATATTTTTAAAAAAAGGTTATGTCAATTGTATTTTTGGAGGACTTAAAACAATACCCCTCCATCAATTCTTCAGTTAAACATTGTGCATCGGGTCTCTAATGCGGCTGCTGAGAGCGACGAGCAGGTCCCCAATCTTAGCGAGACTAAGCAGGACAGGACTTAGTAAGCAGGACTGGGTTTGGGCCGGGTGTTCAACAGCACCTTCCCTTGAGTGGGTCGAGAAAGCAACTTGACGAAAGCTTGTGTCTCTTCACCTCCCATTCTGATGGTAACTGTGTTAACCGAGTCGCCAAACAGCCCGGGCATCGAGAAGAAACATCCTTTCTCAGTCTTTGATGCCTGTTAGGTTCAACCACAGAGGTGACCAGACTACCATTGAACGGTCGCTTTAGTTGCAAGGAGAGACAAATCTGTGGCTCAACGAAGCATTCTTCATCAATCAAACCACCCACTCTTGAATCCTTCAACAGGTCAGCCTGGTACAACTATAACTGTGCATTGCACCAACCTGACCGGTCTTTCCCCATCAGTGTGGAGGTTGTTCTGCATGGCTTAAGTAGAGAGTTGGTTTCTGTAATGAGACTGCAGACTCTAATACATGAGGCATCATCATATAACCGCGTGGATTCATATATACGCTAGCTGAATATGTCGACGTTGAAGGCACAAAGAAGACACTCGATATGTAAGGTTTTCCCCAAGAGTGAGGTAACTCGCTATGGCGGTCCTCAAAGAAGGGAGAAGCTGCTGAGCAAATGTTGAGCACTGACTTATGGCGCTTTTCCACTGCATGGTACGGTACGATTCGGTACGGCACGGTATGGCGCTTTTCCATTGCATGGTACGGTACGGCTCGCTTTAAATGGTACCTGGTCTGTTGAGGTTCCAAGTGTACCGTACCGGTACTAAATGTGACGTGAAACACAGATCAGTGATTGGATCATCAGTACCAGTGTCATTGTATTTGCGACCAATAGACGAACACGAGAAACCAAAACCGCTAGATTTAAATAGCCAATAACAGCCACCGCTGTTGTCGATCAGTCTATAATCCCACCCACTTTAAAGCGGTACTAACTGCAGTGGAAAGGCAACGGAGCGAAACCGAACCGAGCCGTACCACGCAGTCTAGTAAGGAGGATAAGGAGGAGCAAAAGTAATTTGGGCCTAATGGGTGGAGCTAGAATATATCTAACCACACCCTAACCCTACCCACAATTCTATCCCTCCACCCCATTGGACGTCCACTGAGTACCACTTGAAGAAGTGGAGAGACCAATGTTAAGGTCCATTCTCCTGGCCACCAGATCGAAATATGTTCTCCACTCTAGATTGTTTGGGGGGGCTCTTGTTCCCATGGCTTGTCTAAGGGTGCGTTCACACTTGTAGTTAGGTTTGATTAGTTAATTTGGTCCAGACCAAAAAATGTGTAAAGGAGTCAAAACAGCAGCACGAATCCCTCCGTCACACACAAACGAAGATCTGCTGTGAGGAGACGCGGTTCTGATGCCTGTACCGAACTGTGATGGGAAAAAACAGGTATCCTTAAGCATTCTGTCCTTTTGGTTTGTTGTATTGATATTTCAGGCAAACCGAACTAGGGTTTGTTCGAAGTTGATTGAGATCCATCTTTTCTATGGTGTCGGTCTGCTTGTTTGGTGGCACAGGAATTCAGATGGCAGTGTTCACACTCGTTCAAATGAACAGCACTAACAGAGCAATCGCAATAGATTTCTTTTAAATCCAACCAAACGCAACTTATTTGTAGTCTGGACACTCCATGAGTCGCCATCTCAAGTCATTTCTTTTACACGCTGTCACAAGAGATTTCTCCAGTGTCCTCCCTCTGATCCGAAGAGGTGCCAGGGCATGCTTTGGGGTCCCGCAAAAGGGGCATCCCGATCTGGAGAGAGAGAGAGCGAGCGATAGGGGAAGACCAGTCTCTCACCTCTCGCCCAGAATGACACACAAGCCCCACAATCGCATTGTGGGTGCTAGCACATGGAAATTAGCAAATCAAGCACGAAGGACTTAAACTGTGAACATTTTACAACACCCACGACGTATTCAGGCATGAGCCGTGAGTAGAGAGACTTCATAGAGAGTTTTTGAAAGGGAACAGCTTCATTGTTTTGATGCGCTTAAAACTGTACAACTTGTAAAATGCCACAATTACGTCCCACGGTCGGGATGGAACCATGATGATCCAACATTTGAAAACCAGTGCCCTAACACTCACTCAAAACATTCAACTGGAAATAAGATTGTTGTGTAGATTTATCAATACTCTTTATTCTCTCGTTTTCCAGCTCGTCTGCCTGTTCCTGTCATCACCCGTAACTCTTCACACTGTTCTTCATCATTATCATCAAATTGTTCAGTGGTGTGTTCATCATCAGTGTTGAGTGTGTGTGATGCGACTCTGTCCTGGTACGCAGGAATGAGTGTATTGTCCAGCATCAGTGTGTGTGATCTCAGCATCAGTCTCTCTCTACCTCTGGAGGTGGAATATCAGGATAAAAACACCTACAGCTGTGTGCTGAACAATCCCATCAGCAACCAGACCACACATCTGGACATCAACACACTCTGCAGACACACATGTGCAGGTACAGCACCACTCATCAGATATGCGTGTGTGTTTACTGACCTGATCTCTGTCTTCTGGTGTAGATCACACTGATGCATTTACTTACTTTAATGTCTCTCTTTAGACATCACAACACAGATAGTGTTGATCTCTTCTGCTGCTGCCGGATCTCTGTTGATTATAGTTACAGTCGTGATCTGCTGCATCTGCAGGAAACGTAAAAAAATAGGTCAGGAGATAAAACAAGTAATGCATATGTTTTAATCTATTATCTTTTATAAGGCACATATTTCAATATTAGATTGAAAACTTTGTTGTTTTAAACATGTATACATTATGTTATTGTTCATTTAGATCAAACCAAGGTTGGAGACATGAAGGATTCTGCATTGTGTAAACCAACAAGACGAAAAAAGGTAAGATCATTCTGTGTTGCAAGAAGTTTTGCAGTTACACACAGTCAGTGAACAGATGTTGATTATCAATGTGTTAATTATTAATTAATTAGTATTAAATTCAGGAAGAGATGTCTAGAAGCATGTTTAATGCTATTTACACTATGCTGTTTGTTTGCAGTGCAGTGTAAATACTAACAGTATTCCCATTTTGCAGACCTATACTTTAATTTTTTTAATACTAAAAAAAATTCAATGATAAAGTCTTAATATACTCACCATACTGTTATGATTTTGTCTTTGCCAGCGTTAGTTACAATTCACTTTCATTGCATATTTTTATTCTATACAATGAAAGTGAACTTTAGACTCCGTTTGCCGTTACGTGTTGCAGTTCATGTGTTGTTGCAGGAGCCGCACGTGCTATTGTGTTCTCACATATGGTGTGTTTGCATCGCGAAACCAATCATTTATTTACTATTTTTATTTGAAATTCAAACGTGTTTTTTTTTATTCAGCAACTTTTTTTTAATTCAGCATTTTGATTCTCTTTGAACACATTATTCACTTTTATAGACGAAGGCACATTTAAACACAATTTAAACATCATATTTAATGCAACTTCTTTACATTAAGTTGCTTATGTTACAATCACACACATGACGACAGAAAATCCAATTGCAGGTAAGTTTAATGGGGCAATCCAAAACGTAGTCAGCCAGGCAGGGGTCAAATCCAAAAAATCAAAGCAGTCCAAAACAAGAACAGACAAGAAGCCAACCTGAGGTGTGAGGACATCTAACGACGACTCCGTAACAAATACTGACACAGACAGGGAATATATACACACAGATCTAACAATGTGATGGGAAACAGCTGAGTGAGTGCAATGAACTGATGAGTGACCAACAGAATGCTGGGAAATGAATTCAAATGTAAAAGACACCGTAAGAACGAGGACCTCTAGTGACAATCCAGGGAAACACAACCAGACACTGTGACAGCTTAAAGGAAGTGGCAAAATGTTTAAACATGTACTTTTCTGAAGTTAAAAATCGAAAATATTTTAAATTAAAGCTAGCAAAACGTCTCAGGTTACGACTGTAACCTATGTTCCCTGAGAACAGAGAATGTGACACTGCGTCAGAACGCTATGGGGAGCGGCCTCCGCCTGAACCGGTGTCTGAACAGTAAACTAATGACGGCAATCCTATTGGCTGGCAACAGCCTACGACAAATGGTTTTATTTCCAGCCATAAAGCTCCAACTGCTAATGGTAGACTTTTGTGTTTGTCGTTGTCAAGGAGACAAAGAGATCAAACGTATGCAAATGATGGACGAAAGGTTAGGTCACCTGGACTACAATCAATTCAAATATTCAAATCTTAAAAACTAGACCGAGTCAAATAAATTATTTTACAGAAACTTTAAAAGGGTCTTGTGAAGCCTACATAAAATGTAGTTATTATAATTATTTAAAACGCATTTAAACTTTTGCTCTTGATTGACTGTCTATTTTCCTTGCAGAAATCAAAGGAGGAGATTTATGAAAACATCACCCCAAAACGCTGATCAAATTCAACATCTCTGCCAGGATATTTTTATTCTGACTCTGTTTTGCTTTTTTTTTTTTTTCATCTAATGTTTATTTACTATTATTATGTCTGATATTGAGTTGCTGTGGGGGAGACCAGGGAAGGTTGTAACATGGGAAGAGTAACATAATCACTTCAGTGTTTTCCTACTGAATCCTCCCCAATCCAGAGAGAGAGAGAGCACTGAGAGACAGAACTGATTTTGAGTAGTCTGGGAAAACCCAGATGAACTGGATTTGAGATTTGCTCTGCAAGTCAGTCTGTCCAAGATCCATTCAAGCACATTTACAATTTTTCCAAATTTTCCAAGCACCAATCACAAACATTAAGGTTTAAACATTTAAAGCCTTACACGATGACCATCGCTTTGATTGGTTTTAGATCTATTTCGCCCAGAGGCATTTAAGCGGCGTCCGTTGGCGATGCCCCTTTGAAAATGGGCTGTGAATGAACCTTCCCCAGGTTTAGGATTTTGTATATATAGTATACAGGTTATATCAAATATAGTATTGGTCAAAATTTGTACCAGGGTCTGGTGTCAACCAGGCTAGATTTTGAGGTCAATACTATCTTTTGTTTAGTAACAGTACTGTTGCAGATAAAATTCTATGAATTATATTATTTTATCATAATTTCCCTCCTGCTAATTTCAACTATGCTAATACAGCTAGCTAAACATTGGTTGACAGGGGTGGGTGGGTTGTAACACTTATTTAAAAAGTGTTATAACCATCCCTTTAGTAAGAATATTCTTGATTTTAACGTTTTTAAAGGGCATAAAGAAAAACTGACAAGAGGTGCCTCTGCCAGTGTTTTATGTAAAGTGGTTTGCATGAAGCAATTAAACAACTCAAAGCCAAAGAAGGTTTGGGTGAAATGCACCCTATGCAGTTTCTGGGCCCATCAAGCCACTCGGCACACATAATCTGTCAGAACTGTGACTGTGATTAAAAATATACACACACACACACACACACACACTTATACACACATTGACATTTTTTTGTTAGACTTAAAGATGTCCAAAGATGTTCTTTAATCTGGTACATCGCAGTAGTGTTTATTAAGTATAGCACTAAGTACATTTGTTTAGCTGATCAATTTACACACACAGATGTATTTTTTGTTAGACCTAAATAAGATGTTATTTAGTTAGGTAATGTTATTATTAAGTGTACTGTTAAGTAAGTTTGTTCCAGTAGACAAATTTAAACACACGCACATGTGAGTCAAACAGTCTTGTTTTTGAGAGAGAGACATTGTTATTTTATTTCAATAAATCTGTTTTTGAACAATATCATATGATACGGCATCCATTTTTATTTCTTTTGTCTATTGTTACAACCTACCCCGGTAGTAGGTCACACATTCACTCATCTCCATCGGACAAACTTAAATTAATCTGATGGATGATGCAAAATAATGCAGTTTCTCAGGCTACAGCTGTTTTTATGTTCTGTTGCGTTGAGGACTTTTATCTTGAAGTTTCTCAAGGACGTTTGGTTTGAAATCTCTCTCTTCCTGTGTTTACTTCCGGTTAAACGGTTCCTTTATTACCCCTTTCACTCACTGGTGTCTTGTTTATTCTGCATGTAAATATAGTTATTATTATAGTCCTGTAGTTTATCTGAATACCCGTGTCACAAGGTGTTTTCCCCCCTATTTGATCCACGTTTCAACTTTAGTCCTCTCTCCTCCCAACCAAGCTCCGACAGATTTTTTTTTTTTTTTGGATGAACCTGAGTGAAACTGGCACTTTGAGATGTCACACAATTTTGAGGTTTTTACATTCACCAAAAAAAATAAAATAAAAGTAAAGCATACATCTTTTAAAATCACTACGGGCTTTTTTTTTGGCATTTCCAGAAAAGTTGCAGAGGTAAAGTCATTTTTTTTTTTATTCTTCAGTCATGATTTTAGTCAAATTAATTCACCCATAAACAGAATTAATAATGAAACCGTCACACTAGACACACAAACAGGTAAGTTCCAATAGGAGTAACATTTATCAGGGGAATCTGTACTCACAACAGTTCAGGAAAGGGTCAAAATCCAGAGGGCAATTCGAGACACAAAACAAGAACAGGCAAGACTCTCGAAGTGGTGTGACATCTAATAAGGACTCCACAACAAACACTAAACAGGCAGGGTATACACTCAGAACATGACAATCATGATGGGGAACAGCTGAGTGCAATGAACAGACAGGGATTGTGGGGAATGCAGTTCCAAAAGTGAATGACTCCATGGGGAAGGAGGACCTCTAGTGGACACCAGGGAGCATGTGACAGAAACAGTGTAAAATGAGCAGTTACAATTACTTTTCTCTCATATCGAGCAAACTAGGGGGGTCAAACTGTGTCGTGGGAGGATTCACACAACACATAACACTACACATCAAAATCCCCAGTGTTAAATTTACACTTAAAAGTGTGAATTATAAACTCTGAGCAGAGTGTTAAATCAACACTGGTATGAAACAGTGTTAAAGTTAATGAGATAATTAAGTGCATATAAATATTATAAAACGGAGCATGATGAAAACTGAAATCTATGGAGACATGAAAATTATTTCAAGAACTGGCTGTTATTTACAACTTTCTACATGACAGGCTATCTTGGCACATAGCAAGTCCTCTGATAAGACCGAACAAATATGGAGACATGGAGGAAAGGTCACCTCTAGCAGAACCGTAAAAAACATTAAAACCCTAAACCCACGTTCATGTTAGAGTCTCCTATCACTTCACAGAATAATGCTATCAAAGCTCTTTTCATTTATTATCCTGAGCTGAGGTACGCAGTATACCTTGAATTTGGGTCTTTGTTCATTATTTTTGCTTTTTTTTTTTTACTGTACTGCAACATAGAGGAGCCTTGGAGAAAATAAAGTGTTAATTTCATGTGTGATATTACACATTCAGAATGAACTTTTCAGAATGTCCATCTCTCATTGGGATTTGCACTTTTTTTGTCATAGCACCCAAAGCTAAGTATTATTATTTAGGAAAACCTTGTCAAATATAAGTAATACAAAATATTAGTAGTTAACTGCATGAAACAAGCTACCCGTTGATAAACCAAGCTCTCCATTAAACGACCAAAACAGCCCTAAAATTTAATAAAATATTATAGACACATTATATGTAATTATATTAGATAATAAACGCATTTAGCAGAATTGTTTTGTAAAAAGTGTTTTGTATTCATTTTTGACCTGATTTTTCCTGCATTTACACTGTTCTGACCAGCAGGGGTCACTAGTGTGCGGCGATTTAAAACAGTGAATCAAAGTAGCATCAGTGTTAAAATAATATATAATTCAATATTATCTTATATATTCTATAATATTATCAACAAAAATATTTTAGGGACATACAGATTCCAGCCATGAATAAATCATAAGCTTTCAAGTTAATTTCCTTGTTTCAGAAAAGAAAAACATCCTCTAGTGAGCACCAGACAAAAAGACAAATCCAAAATTATAGGAACAATGACAATGGGACAAGTATGCTGCTATACAAGAAAACCGTAAGTCTAAAGCTAGAGTATTTAAGTGATGGCAATCGTCTCAAAACAGTGATAATACACTGTAAAAAGAATATTGTTGGTTTAACTTAAAAAATTAAGTAACCTGGTTGCCTTAAAATTTGAAGTTGATTGAAATGGAAAAAGTGAGTTAATGCAACGGAGATTCAGAAACTCAAAAAATAAGTTATCTGAACTAAATAAATGATTTAAGTTGATTTGACAAAAGAAAAATGTTGTGATAACAAATTTTTTTACAGTGTAGTCTACAAGACAAACACAAAATACAACATTTTAAATAACAAACCACAGTCAATCTTAACACAACAGAACTGAAAGAGACACGAGATTTAAAAGACAAACTAATCAGCACCTCATACAATTTCACAACTTCAAGTAGGACTATAGGAAGACTGACCGTTGCACATTTCAACGACGTTCGTCCAAATAAAGACTTACTATAATTTAATTACATTTTTTTATCAAGTACACGCACATTTCTGTGTTACTATGACCTGACAAACATCACATCAAGTAGGCATATGTTTCAGCCAGTGTGTAACAGTCAAAATATGAAACACGTCAACATCATCAAATATGTGTTCAATTATCAGAATAACTCATTTAGCAAACTGTTTAAATAAATCAACAAATTTCAAAGCTTATAACGGCAGGTTTTGGTTTCAGTGTCGCTGCTAGAGTGTGTTTTCTGATGAAGTAAGGGTTAATATGTCAGTGTTTAAACCATAAATATTAGCACCATAAATATGACGGTCTTTTCCAGGAACAGCAACAAATATCAGGAATACACACTGAGGTGGAAACTCTTGGTCATAATGCCAACTTCCAAAACCGAGAGATTCAATGATCAGGAGAAAGTGTTGTAGGAACTTTTAAAAAATCTCTCCATTTTGTATCATCCCTGTCTTTAATATTCTCAAAATAATCTAGTTTAACACATAACTGTATAGGTCTCTTTTTCCTACCATCTGAAAATCAAGCTCTTGTAACCTGTTAAATGTCAGCAGCTTTCCTACATCATTTTCTTCAAAACCAACCTTGGGAGAAATTAATATCTTAGGAAACAAAACTTCAGAAGGACCTCCAGACAGAAAACTGTTAACAAACAGGAGGAGTGTGGAGGGAAAAGATGCTTTCAAACCACCAATGAGCCTTTCCACCGTCCTGACTGATTTAATACCAGCCTGATTAGCAATCTCTATAATTGGCCTCCATTTTTTAGACAAGATATCAATCAAGTCAAAAACTTTTGTCAGCTTTTTTTCAAAAAAATGTTTAACCATTGTATTAGATGTACAAACGTTATCACCCAATATAGAGTTATAAAACAGTGGTTCTTCAAGGCCAAAATGATTCATTTCATTTCTAATCAATTTAACACATGTCCAGGAGTTTAACACAGAAGTATAAAATTTTACATCAGGTAAAAACTTTTCATCATAGGAAGGCATTAAAAACAACTGCCTATCAAGACAAAACCCACCAAAAGTTCTGAGCAGCGCCAGACCAAACGATATCCATGGCCTAAAATCCACAGAGTAGAGCAGGCTCTGAACAGTCTTTAACCTCATCGCTTTAACCTTGGCAGCCAAATCGATCAACCCTTGACCCCCTTCATTGACCGGCAATATACAGAATTGCTGGGGGAAGCCAATGGTAGCCATCCCAAAAAAATTCAACAAAAGTCTTCTGCAGACGTTGCAACAAATCTTTTGGTGGGTCAAGCACATTTAAACGATGCCACATCATGGAAGCTGCTAAATTATTAATAACGAGCACTCTTCCTCTATATGACAGTTGCTTCAGTATCCATCTCCATCTTTGTATACGCCCAGAAACTTTCTCAAACATTCCATCCCAGTTTTTCTGAATATATTGATCAGTCCCAAGGAAAATTCCCAGCACTTTAAAACCCTCTAGACTCCAGGAACAGTTCTGAGGAAGCACTGGAGGCCCTCCATTCTCCCATTCACCCAGTAAAAAGGATGCACACTTTTGCCAATTAATTCTAGATGAGGAAGCTTTTTGATAAACCTCCAAATATTCTCTCAAAATCCTGACATCCTGAGCAGATCTAATAAAAACAGTGACATCACCAGCGTATGCACTAAGCTTAACAGTTTTCAGGTCTGAGGTGGATGGACACACTGTAGATATGCCACATAACTTGTTTCTCAGTGCTACCAAAAAAGGTTCAATTGCAATTGCATACAGGATACCTGAGAGACCACACCCCTGCCTTATGCCTCTGCTTACTCTGAAAGGTCTTGTAACGGTACCATTAATTTTCAGCATGCTGTAGGTATCGGTATACAATAGTTTAATATAAGCAATAATAGATGGGCCAAAACCAAAAGCCTCAAGGCACTTAACCAGGAAACCATGATCGACCCGATCAAATGCTTTTTCCTGATCCAAAGACACAAAACCAATGTCAAAATTATGTATCTTTGCAAAAGAAATCAGGTCTCGAATCAAAAAAAGGTTGTCAAAAATAGTCCTTCCTGGAATGCAATATGACTGATCAGGATGAATCACTGAGGAGATTCTGTTAGTTAAAGATTTTGAAAAAATCTCATAGTCTACTCCAAGTAAGGAGACCGGACGCCAGCATTTAATGTCTTCAAGATCCCCCTTTTTAGGTAATAGGGTGACCACAGCTCTTCGTAGACTCAAAGGAAGTGTACCTCTGTTAAAACTCTCCATGAAAACAGCAAACAAATCCTTTCCGATGACTGGCCAGAAATGTTTATAAAACTCTGCATTAAGTCCATCCAATCCTGGAGATTTGCCTGAAGACAGTTCATTTACAGCAACAGATAGTTCATCAAAAGTCAAAGGTTTATCAAGCATGGTTTTCTCTCCTTCCGAAAGCTGAGGTAGATCCTTAAAGAGAACTTCAGCCATCTCTTCATCACAAGGTTCAGCTCTGTAGAGATCCTCATAAAAAGATAGTGCGTGAGAGATAATCGCATTAGCTGTGTCTGAAACCGCTCACTCGTTCACTCATTCACTAATCCATATATAGTGTATGGCATTTGAGTGCACTATATCTGCAAGGAGTGAACGAGATGAAGTGAGTGAATTCGGACGCTGACGTTTACACTGTGCGTCGGAGAGTTGGAGCTGTCGCAGAAAAGGCTTTGTCACGCGTACTGATAAAACTCCTTTTATCTTACATTACCTACTTTATAAAATAATATTAACAACAATAACAATCATAATGACTTTATTTTGTAATTATACCTCCGTGCCAGCTTTGTAGTTTCATCGACTGAAATTGTCTGAAATTGTCTCACGTTCACAGATGACGTGTCGTCGAGCGCCCTCCGGCGACCGTTATTATATTCAAAACGACGATTAACGGATATTTTTCAAATCCTCCACTGGCGGCTGCTGGTCTTTCAAAGAGGGGAAGCTCTTCTTTTTTCTTCTTCTTTTTTTTTAAACTCGACTGTCAGGTGTGGGGATGGTGAAAAGAGCGAGGACTCGATGGGCTTTATTTTATTGATAAAAACAACAAAAAAAAAAACAAGGGGAATAAATTCCCAGATAGCAAACTGACATTAAATCAACGTGGAAATATGACATCGAAACAACGTTGATCTGACATTGTTTTGCTCATCGAATTAACGTTGAACCAACGTCAGACGCGTCATTCTTTCAAAACTAACGGAAAGTCAACTTGAAATCAACGCGTTGTTTCAACGTTATGAAAGCAAACCAATTTTCGATTTCATTTAGCTTTGAAGAATGCCGCGTCTGAGCAAATCAACGTTGTTTCAATGTCACGAGAGACGTCGTTTCCACGTTGATTCAATGTCAGTTTGCTGTCTGGGTTGGGAGCAAAAAAGGCAGGTAACGAGGGAGGACAGGTGGGGCAAAATAACTAATAATCAGGAAACAAGATGGGAGTCACAATGACAGGAAAGCACATATGACACAACAAACACATTAAGCACAAGCCATGTGCTCATACCAAACATGACAAAAACACATGACCAATAAAACAAATTAAAAAGCAATTGTGCTCACACAAAATGAGACCTGAAGAACGATGAGAACACTCACAAGACACGTGTTCACACAGAACATGACAACATGAAAGCACACAGCTAGTTTAAAACTGTGTAACTGTGTGCTACACAGCCCAAGACAAAACATGACATAAAAGCACGCGGCCGATGTAAACACAAACCATGTGCTACACAATACACAACACACTGAACAGAGCGAACACGACAAGACAGAACGCTAACGTTACGCATGAGTACGACCATAAGGTCATCCTGTGCACTCACAACCGAAAACAAACACGCGGAGAATGCATGTCCGAATCCCAACACAAAAGTGAAACCAAACTAGACAGATGTGCCGTGATTCAAACACCACGCCCGCACATGTAACAAGACACCTGACATCGACGGAAGAAATGTGGGAATTAGGTTGAACTGTGAAATATCTGATGAAAATTGCCAATACTAAGAAATATGTTACAGTAGTTCGTCTTTCGAGTAAAATACACACAAAATTCGCGACGAGACTAAGCTTGAAGTCTTTAAACTAGCTTCCGCGTCAGCGATTTTTTTATTGGGTGAAATCACTGTCAATCAAAAGGAGATGCAATCCTCCAATCATCACGCGGACGCCCGGACGCCAGGCCTGCCCACTTCCCTATTAACCCCAGAGACGCCCGGCGTCCGTGGGCGGGACATAATCGCAGCATTTATCCAATGACCGTCTACTTTAACAGCACTGAAAAAAACTGTTCAAAGCAGCCCCATTGAAGTCAATGGACGCCGAGCTTCAACGGGGAAATGCCATAGGAAAACGCATGCACTGTGACGCGCTACAGGAGGCGCTGCATGAGAAGGAGATCAAGTCCGACCTGCTATTTGTTGCTTATTCTGAACGAACTCGCCTTCGAGATTACCGTGTTCTAACGCATTTTTACTCATTAAAATGTTAACACAATAGTACACATTTGATCATTATTTGTTTGACATTATAGGGGAAGCTGGGCTTCCCTTGCAGTCTTAAAGAAATCTCCACTGGATGTAATGTAATCTCAGTTCTCTCCGCATTGGATTGTGGGAAATAGGGCTTCAGCAAGTGTACATCGAATGTACACTCGAATTCAGAGAGGACTGTGGGTAAAAGTAGTGAATGAATGTAGGGAATGATGTTGTTCACTCAGAATTCGGACACCACTACAAAATGGCCGACACCCGATATAGTGCACTATATAGTGGATAGGGAGCGATTTCAGACACAGCTATTAACTTTCCTCCCCTCTGGAAGTTTCAAACAGCCTAAAATCTTCTTATCCACAGTCTTCTTCTCAAAGTTAAAAAAGAATGAAGTAGGAGAGTCCATGCTATTAAAAGATGCGAATCGTGCACGAATCAGCGTCTCCTGGGCTCTTTCTTCCAGTAGATTCCTCAAAAGAAATTTATTCTGTTTCAAAGACTCAGCGTCACGGTCCCCTTCAAAATTGAGAAGTAGTATTTCCTGTTCAAGCTGTTCCATCTTCTTGTCCAGAAAACTTTTATTGTAAGCAGAATAACTCTGGCAAAACAATTTAATCTGAGTTTTGCCAATATCCCACCACTGGCTCAGGGAAGTATACTTTGTTTTACTCTCTCTCCAGATCTCCCAGAAATAAGTGAAAGAGTGCACAAAATTCTGATCTAAAAGTAGCCTGTTGTTAAATTTCCAAAAAAAAATCTTACATGTGCTCTCTGCAGTAAAGAAATCAATAGATAGGCAATCAGGAAAAGGCCTTCCCGAGAAGACAGAGGGTCGGGCTGTGGTGACCTTTATGGAAAAATGGATTCCTGAAATACTCCATCTGGAAACACAACCCAACCACACTAAATGTGTGTCTACAGCACGTCTCATATTGTATTTCTCCTGCAATTTACATGTGAAAATGAGCTTAGTAGTGTTTAGGTTTAGTAGTGGTGTGGGGTAGCCTAAATATCTATTCTACATAGTGGTGTGGATTACACACAATAAAGTGCTTATCATATGCACGCGAAAGCTACATATGAAAAAATGTAAATTGGAAGAGAAACAATGCGTGGTATAGGGAAGCATCGGGGTCGAAAGGTATAAATTATGAACTTTACTCATTTCCTAATTCTCTTCAGTGCATCTTTCAAAAAAGTATTAAAAATATAAATTATATTTGATTGTCAGTCTCAGCCTGAATCTGAGTGTCCTTCTCCTCAAAGGACTATAACATCAGCACCATCCTGGAAGAAAACAGATTCACAGAAGGTTAAAGTAATGAGGAGGATTGATGTTTCAGCTAAACAAAACTACTATAGACTGGATTTAGTTTTTTCCTGTTGTTTGTACAGAGGTTTAAATTTCCTAAATATAATATAAGTCATAAGATGCATCTGTAATATAGACCTGAAGTATTATTATTTAGAAATTCACATCTAAAAGGCTTATTGGTGCTTTATAATAAAAAACTTGCTCTCTGAAAAAGTGCACTTTGTTTTTTTTGGGAGTTTTGTTGTTTCACTGGTGAATATTTGCTTCTGTAGCTATTGTTAGAAAAGAAAATACATTTATACTACACACATAATTATGATCATATAAAAATATATTCATACCACTGTTCTTATAAGTGCATTTTTGTACGGTAAATCTCATAGAACTTCTTCAGTCGGCGGATTTCGTTGTACTGATGCATGGCTCCTGTGGTGACAACGATCACACCAGTAAATCACACCAGCAGCAACAACAAGCACCAGCAGAACAGCAACAACTATTCCTGCAACAGCTACTGAAGACAGACCTGAATCTGGAACAACATCTACAGAGAAACAGACATCATTACTAGAGAGTGAATGTTAATGCTGCACATCCAGTATTTAATAATAGTGTATGATAATGATTTAACTGATAAATGTTAAAGTTAAAATTAAAACTGCATTAGCACTGAAAAAAAAAAAAACGACAGTTAAAGGTTTAGTTCACCCAAAAATGAAAATTCTGTCAGTATTTACTCACCCTCATGTTGTTTCAACCCCGTAAAGCCTTTTAAACACAAATTAAGATATTTAAGATATTAAGATCACTCCTGCATATAGTCCATAGGCTTCTTGAGGGAATGACACTTGCTGTCCTCAAAGTCATTAAAGACATCGTTAAAATAGTCCAAGTGACTACAGGGGCTCAATCTTAAGTTTATCAAACGACGAGAACACTTTTTGTGCGCAAAAACAAACAAAAATAACGACTTTATTTCAACTATTCACTTCCTTCTCCATGAGCCTGTAAGTCAGTTAACGTAGTGTGATTGCGTAGAGCTACGTCACACGTAGGCTCACTATTGGCCGACGCTGGTCATGTGTGTGAGGCGTGTGACGTACGGTAACAGAAGCTTACGCTATTAAACTAGTAACCTGACTCGTGCAGAGGGAGAAATAAACGAATAGTTAAAATAAAGTCGTTATTTTTGCACACAAAAAACTGTTCTCGTCGTTTGATAAACTTAAGATTGAGCCCCTGTAGTCACTTGGACTATTTTAACAATGTCTTTAATGACTTTTCGAGGACAGCAAGAGTCATTCCCTCAAGAAGCCTATGGACTGTATGCAGGAGCGATCTTAATATCTTAAATATCTTAATTTGTGTTGCGAAGATGAACGAAGGTCTTACGGGGTTGGAACAACATGAGGGTGAGTAAATACTGACAGAATTTTCATTTTTGGGTGAACTAACCCTTTAACACTGTTCACAGGAAAACTGCATTTTTTTTTCATGTTAATAGCATTAGTTAAAGTCGAGCCCTTTGTATTGAGTCAATAGTCCTCAACAGCTATTGGGGTTCATTTAAAAATACTGTTTTGAAACTCCTCAAAGGAAAATGCATTGAAAGATTGAATTATACCCTCACCAATGACAGAAAGACTGAATCTCTTCACTGTAGTGATGCTGAAGCTGCTGTTGATGAAGATGATCAGTAGTTTATAAACTCCAGAGTGTGTGTTTGTGGTGTGTGTGATGTTCAGAGATCCAGTCTGATTATCCAGCTCCAGTCTGTCTCTGAATCTCTCTTTACACTGAACATCTGTACAGATCTGACTCTGATCTCCAGTGATTTCAGCGATGAGAATATCATTAAAATACCACTTCATTGAATCATTTGGGTTTTTTATTACACCAGGATCTAAAGTAACAGATTCTCCCTTATTCACTTCATATAGTTCAGCAGCAGAAACACCTGAAACACAAACCAACAGATGCTGGAGGATCTTATCCTGGAGAAATGAACAACACCAAACCCTCCACAACATGAACAAACTATTATCATGAATTCGATTGCACAAGCTCTCACTCTGAAAAGAAAGTTTGGTGCTTTTTACATCCTTATTTATTTCAAATCCTGATTTAAACAGATAATAATAGAAGTTAGTCAGAGATGGCATGATGACACCTCACATATCCATTACTATCCACATATCCATTTATCACAATTGGTCTTTATGGTTATTGTTCTTGTGAGAATGGGCCTTTAGTTTTTTTTTTATCAAACTAAGCTATTTAATGATGTAAAGTGAGGTAATTCTATAAACTGAGATTATCTGCAAGATTTTATGTATATCCTTACGAAAAAGAAGTTTATTCAAGTGTGCCATTAGTATACTTCTTTTAAACTAAAAATAAGAAAGTATACTTTCAGTATATTATTCCTGTACTTCTCAGAAATATACTTCAAATTACACTTAAGTGTACTTGACTTATACTGAGAGAAAAGCAAGTATATTTGTCCTGTTCTTGTACTCAATCTTTTGATCCAGAAATACTTAAAAGTATAATTAAGTATTCAAAGTATACTTGTATAAGTATTACAGTAAAAAAGTAAACTACTAGTATACCCATAAATTCACTTGCAGTACACATGAGATACATAATTATGAACTAGTTGTGCACTTATAGTTGTTACACTTAAACATATACTTTTATGTACTAAAAGTGGGCCAATTTAGTCCCAAGCGGTATTAAAATAGTACACTTACAAGTTTACTACTAGTACATAGTGACATTAGTATACTTACTACATAATGTATACTTAAAAATATACTTGAACATTACTTAAGTATACTACATTAAATGAACTTGAAATATACTTCTTTTTCGTAAGGGTACTATATGTGAATTAGTAAAGAAAATAACTCATTAAATGACTCACCCGTGACAGAAAGCCTGAAGATCTTGTCACTGCTGCTTCTGCTGGTGATGATCTTCAGTTCATAAAGTCCAGAGTATGTGGTGTGTGTGATGGTCAGAGATCCAGTCTGATTATCCAGCTTCAGTCTGTCTCTGAATCTCTCATCTCCGTCTTCACACTGAACATCCGTACAGATATCACTGAGATCTCCACTGATTTGAGCGATTCGAGTGTCATTAAAATACCATTTGATAACTTCTTGTTGGTTTGTTTGAACACCAGTGTTTAAAGTGACTGAATCTCCCTCCATCACTGACAATGACACGTCATCTGTATCAGCACCAGACGAACCTGAAAAGAAACACAAGCTATAAAAAAATATACAATAGTGCAGTGAATTTTCTGATTTTGTGACCTAAGATTTTGTTTAAAGAAACATGTCTGGATATATTCAGTCCTGCAGAGTTTCACTCCAACCCTGATGAAACTCAACTGCCTGTCTCTTTATAACCCTTAATACCATGATTAGCTTTTTCAGCTGTGTTTTCTATGGATTGGAAAGCCTAGGGTTTTGAAAACCTGGTAGGGAAGCATTATTTTGTTGTCGGTGGATGACATTTGATTCAATTTATGATTCATACTGTAGGTTTTTGGTAAATGGACTGCAATTATATAGCGCTTTCATAGACCCAATGTAAATATTTGAACAGGAGGATTGGAAATTATTCTTATTAAATTATTTAAAGATATTGTGTTTTAGTACTGCCCTACAGAAGTTACATAAAATACTTGCATATTTTCCTCATATATTTAATTTTTTAAGACAAAATAAGTACAACACTCAAAAAAATTATATGTTGGCTTTAATTAATTTTAATTTGTCAACAGGTTCCACATAACTGGATTACGTTAAACAAACATAATTTGTTCATGTAACTTCAACATAATGGAATTGTGTAATTGTAAATTACCCAATTTAAGTAGTCTCAACGTGAATTTTTAAAGGCTTCCTGACATGATTCAAAGGCATTTTATTATATTCATTCATCCATTTATATTCCATTTGATTCAGTGACATTTAATTAAATTGATAGACTTTAGCTAGCTATTTTAACATTAATTCTCTCTTAATTCAACCATATGCAAAGCATGCTGGGAACTAAAGTTAAGGCAACACAAATCAATCATGTAATCCAACACAAACAGATTAAGTAAACTTAAGTTGTTCGTAGATTTAAGCAGATTGAACACAATAAAATTAAGTTCGGGCAAAATGGCAGTCGGCTCGCACTATACTGCCACCCTCTGGATGTACACATTTTAAATGGTTTGTGTTCAGACAACACATTAGGATTTTGTACTGTCAGTTTGAGACACAATTATATAGACCTAAATAGAAGAAAAAAAACATTTAAAGTCAAAAATCACAATTATTATAATTAAACTATATATAAATATATTATGTAAAGTGCACAACCTCCCTAGTTCATTTTTTTTGAGTGAATTTGACCCCCAATCGTCCTGTGCAAAAGTTTACACCCCCTGAATTTGTGTTTCCTTCTGGAGCATCAGTGTATATGTCTGCATCGTTTTGTAATAGTCGTGTCTCAGGTGTTATCCGTGCGAAAATATGGATCCCAAAAATAATTCAGTCACTGCCGGAAAGGGTTAAATTATGCAGGAGATCGTCACGGTGTGGGTTTTGTGTCTCGTTCCTTGTTCTTGTCTATCATGTGATTCCCTGTTTGCCATGTGTCTTGTCGTCTGATCAACGTTCCCATTTGTTTCTGATTAGCCACGCCCCTTTTTCCATGTTCCTGTTCTGAGTTTCTTTGTTTGTTGTTTACCCTGGATTGCCTGTTTGTTTAGTTAATAAAGTGCTTGCGATTGGATGCAGTCTCTGCTTTATTCCTGACCCAACGTAAAAAAGATGCTGGGAAACCAAAGAATATTCAGGAACTAGTTCATTTCTCTGAAGAACTGTGGGGCGAACAGGACTGCTCAGGACAAACATGGAATTTATGATAAAAACAGTCATGGATCATCTAGGTTATGACGCATACTAAGAATTAATTAAGTGTATGTAAACTTTTGAACTACATGTAGGCCTACACATAATAAAACATTTGTTGCAGTGCTAAGTGAAAATCATAATCTACGATCTCTTATTTATTTATTTTATTTTTTATATAATGCAAGGTGTAACGTATGTCTTGTCTTCAACTATTAGGATAAACAAAATGTGATATGCTGATAAAATAATATTTTAGAGCTGAGCATAACTAAGCAAAACAGGAAAGCAATAAAGGTTATATAAAGTGTTGTCCAACAATAACCTGAATCCTTCCGTCACTCCAGCGTTTACAGTCACACAAACACTGGAAGAAAGATTGGAACAAGTAAATGTCTTACCGTTGTCGAGTAAAAACAAGATCACTGCGAAAAAATAGAAGAGAAACTTCATTTTCAAAACTTCCCCACAGAAAATTAATCCAGATTAATATTCATGAAAGCGTTCTGTTCTTCTACTTCACTGGAAACGCAGATCTTTCATTGATTCAACACAATGAAAGCGGTGACGTGAACGCTCCTGGCGTTTTGTAAAGGACTTTTCGCTGTTCCTTGTGTAATTTCACCTTATTTCAATTGCATAGCCCTCAGAACGGCAGAACTCAGGTGAAGAAAAAAGACCAAATAATGTTGAAATAATAATTAACTAATGAACACAAAAACTCATGGTGTTGAGTCGCATCAAGGTCAAAGTCTTTCATCACATGCAACCCACAGCACCTGCTCTACTACCCTAAACAGAGAGAGAGAGAGAGAGAGAGAGAGAGAGAGAGAGAGAGAGAGAGAGAGAGAGAGAGAGAGAGAGAGAGAGAGAGAGAGACTTCCAACTGAAAATGCAAATGGGGGAAATAAGGAAGCCGTGCAGGATTGTGACTGTAGACAGTAGAAAGAACACAGAAGTATTATTAGATGATATTTTCCGGCCCTTTGGATACTTTAGCACTGAACTCAGAAGATCAAAAAAAATATATTCTGATAAACAGGCTGCACGAATGAAAGAAGCATACAACAGCAAATCTAGTGAAAAGCGGAGGGAAATATTCTGATCATTAGTCAATCAGAATTGTTGTCCAAATAGTTGGACCAGAAATATTTCAGGATAGTAAATCATAATAAAGGTTAAAGATTACTAGTATCAGCGGTAGAGGCTTAATTCAGTACCTTTACCTTACTATTTCTTAAAGGGGAAGATTTTTATTTGTTAACATACGATCTCTTTCTACAGGTGTCAGCCACTGTGGTTACAGACGTGCAAGACAAAATTAGCTGCGTTTAGAGCTTCAAAGATTCAACAGGTGTAGCATTATGATCAAATGTGCAATAATGGACGCAAACATCATCATGTATGCCGTTCAGAAAGACAAAACCAGTTTATAGTTTACTCTGACGTGTCTAGTGTAGACAGACTCAACCAGTCATGGTGCCTACTGTTTATACAAGCCTTTCACAAGTGATGCTTGCAATGTTTGAGTAGGAGGAGGTGCAGTGTGTGTTAAGTCAACTAAAGCAAGTCCAGAAACAGAAATCTGATACACCTTGTAGATGAATCCTGTTGACCTATATGTCTGTCTGAGAATCATAGGTACGCCTAATTTAATCGGTAGTGGGGTATGGGGAATTATGTGTTGTGTATTAGTGTGTGTTCACCAGTATGTTTGAAGGTTCTTTGTGTGGTGTATGAGGTACTACTTGATAGTCCTGCAAACAAATCTCCCTACAGGGACAAATAAAGAGATTGATTGATTCTGCGCCTGCGTGTAAGTACATTTATCATCAGGTATCAATAGTCTATATTCATCACTCAGAAAGGGAAACTGAAAATGTACAGCAGATATTCAAATCTTAAACAAAGCAGCACGTGCTTATCGTTTTGAATATTAGCCATACAGGTTTTTCAGCCGACTACTACTAGTCCAATTACAATCAGATTATTATGGTGCATGTAAATGAAGCTACTGTCTCTCTATACGTCATTCACTGCTAACAGCTCACACCCACAAAAAAGGTCTGGTGTATTATTCAGTGTTGTGGTGAGCTATCAATGTGTTTGTTAGCAAAGATGCGTGATTATTAAGAGTCTAGTTTAACCTCCGATAATGATTTGACTGTTTATGATGGATTCGGGACTTTGGCCAAACAAGGTCGATTTTAACTTGGTCAACCATGATGAACCAAGGTTGATAATAAAAAGCTGTTTTGTGCAGTCATTAACTGAGATTGCTTGTGCAGGCATTAACCGTGAGAGTCATTAAGCAGGACAGGAAGAAGCTCTTTCACCTAGAAAATAAACACACGTGCGCTGTACCCACTCTTCATCTCGGAAGAAAACCCACCACAGACGGTTTCAGTTTGACTCAGACGACGAGCTGCTAGAGTCTCAATGTGAGGCGACAGACATTAACGTTTTAATTAGACTTTTGACTGAACAATTGAAGAGAATGATTCACGAGTTTACTTTGTTCTGTTTGTACTGGTGGCGTCTGACTGGTAAGTTATCATTTTTTTTGGCTTAATATCAGTAACATTCTTCACAGATGTTAAAAGTCATGGAAAATAATGTAAATTGCTTTTGATTCATCTTGCGGAGAATTCTTCATTATGCTACTTTTAAATCTGAGGCCCAGCTTATATGATTTAGGATGGGGAAAATGTTAAAATTCCCCGATATTTGCAGGTTTTTCCTGACAGTGTATCAGTGAATCAAATGGTGCTTTGACTATAGACTCAAGCTAAATCACTTCATGTGATTGTCAGTGGCCGTCTTCTAAGCGGACGAGGTGATCGTAAGCCTGTTTAAATGAGAGTTATGAATGTAAAGCGGAAGCAATCCATAAAGATTAATGAAAAGGCAGGCTAAACAAATGCATTAAGAAATACTTTTAAGAGTCATTTTAAAATATTGTATGCTTTACCAAAAAAAAAAAGTGTGGGGTTGGGTTGGGGTGAGGGGACATCGCCATTTTTGTGGGCTTTAATTATCTTATTTAGCCCTGAACAACATTAATCAGAAAAAAATCTTCATATCTAAATATATTTAAGAATGTAAAGGTTTTAATTAATATTATGTTCATATATCTCCCCTTTCATTTGTTTTTGCGTTTCTGCGGTTGCTCTGAATGTTTTCACAATTTCACTAAACTTCAGCTGATTTCAGGCTTTGTAAACGATCAGAAACATTAATCTGTGTAAATCTGTGTGTTCATCAGGTGTGTTTGGTGATTCAGTGTCAGTGATGGAGGGAGATTCTGTTACTCTAAACACTGATATTACTGAAATACGTGAAGGCGATGATATACTGTGGAAATATGGAGCTGAAAACTCTCTGATTGCTAAAATGAATAAAAAGAAGCAAATCTTCTCCACATCTGATGATGTTCTTGACGAGAGATTCAGAGACAGACTGAAGCTGGACGATCAAACTGGATCTCTGACCATCACACACACCACAACTGAACACACTGGAGATTATAAACTAGAGATAACTGGAGCGAAAAAATCATTAAAAATATTCAACGTTTCTGTCTATGGTGAGTAGAGGTAATTTGTCCAAAAGTTCACATATTCATGTTTTTATGAAGACATATTCAGTAGGAATTAAATTAAATCAACAGCATTTGTGACACTGACTGTATATATATGGCCATGATGGACAGAGGCCACTGGGCAAATTTGGTCAGGATGCCAGGGTTACACCCCTACTCTTCAAAAAAGACATCCTGGGATTTTTTGTGACCACAGAGAGTCAGGACCTCGCTTTAACGTCTCATCCGAAGGACGGAAACAAGAGCCCCCCCAAACACTCTAGACCGGAGGACAGATATCCATCTGGTGACACGGAGGATGGACCTCGACATCAGTCTCTCCTCTTCTTTCAAGTGTTACTCACTGCAGAGTGGACGGGATGGGATGGGATTAGTCCAGCTCCACCTCTTTGTCCTCTTCAGATTGATACACAAGCCTATTTTAGAACATTTTTCATATATAGGGCGCACCGGATATATAGGATACTGCAGTCCAACGTTTGACTGGGTTTGCGTTATGCATCCACTAGATGTGCTAAAGGGAATATAGCGAGTATGTGGCGCCGGAGGTGAGGCGTTTATTTAGTAAGCGTGAGCGTGCTGGGGCGGGCACGTAACTAAGTTTGCGGGCGAATTTAATAACACGGAGCGTTGTTAACCAATTGATCCATATATAAGGTGCTCCAGATTATAAGGCCCACTTTTTTTTCTTTTCTTTTTTTTTTGAGAAAATTAAAGGCTTTTAAGTGCGCCCTATCCACAAGTTTCCGAGGGGCGCTCCTGTAAAAGATAAAGTGGGTGAAACTTCCGGTGACGCGGCGGAAGTAGCATTCCAATGGTATTTTGTGTGTTAGTTAGCGAAGAGGCTAGCTGTTTTTCGGAGAATTATTTTACTATTTAAAGACGCAAATCTTTATGAGAGATGTCGTTACGGAGCTCAGGGACAACATGTGCTGTTCGCGGTTGTATGTATAGCCGGACTAAACTAATTTAGTGGCTTAAACGTGATTGTTTTGAACATAAGCTGAAAACGAAATCAGAGTGATCCTGCCAGAGCCCATCACTGATCCTGCCAACGACTGTAGTTTCCATCACCTCCCAAAAGACGACGAATCTTCCTGCGTACATTTGTTTAAATTCTTAATATAAACTCTATCAGCATGTGATTGGCTGTTCGCTACTGATGTTACACCTAAACTCAGGATCAAAGCCTGTGTTGACAGAATACCAAATGTGCCAGTTAATGTATTCAAGTAGCACATTCATTTATAATTTTGAATAAACTCCGACCAAAGCACAATGACTAAGTGTGTATTTTTTATTTTAATTGTTTGTCAGCTCGCACAACTGTCTGTCACCATGCCTTGATGAGTATTGATTATTAATAATGTTACTGCGGAGGGTAAAGGTACTGTTATTTCACCCTTTTGAATTTCGTTGAGGTTGTGTTCCCACATCGTTAGCTAGTTTGGATCGCTATAACTTGAATGACTGTCGACTGTTGAATGAACGAGTGTCAAGCATGTCAAGTCACGCTTTGTTTACTTCCAACCGGAAGTCGCGCCCACTGAGGAAACTTGTGGATAGTGCGGAAACCTTCCCCTCTGATCGAATACCGCCATTGGACGCGAATTAGACGGCCTTAGGCCGTGTGTCCACCAAAGCGTTTTTCCACGCACCTGACGTATGTTTTCAATTGTTTTCAATAGGAGCGCTGCGTTTTTTAAACGCCATGAGCGTACCGAGGTGCTGAGCGTTTTTTTCACGCTGAAGCGCCCGGCGTTTTTACTGGTCGCTGGGAATTGAAAAATGTTCAACTTTGGATAAAACGCAGCGCTCATCACTGTCACTTTTTACCCAGCCGTCCAATCACAGTGGAGGAGGGGCGGGACTAAACCACACCGACCAACTGTCACAACATTCAAACTGCTGCATATATTCTGTATCATAGCAACGAAACGTCTCAACGGAAAAAACGCTGCACTGCCAAAACGCTCTCAAGCGCCCAAAGCACGGCGTCTTCAGCAGAGCGTCTAGCGTTTTCAGCTGGATAAAAATACTTTGGTGGACACACGGCCTAACACTGATCACACACAAAGAGTTGCTACAATCAAGCACCAAAGAGAGAAGCTTTTGAAAGGGAACCGCTTCATTTTTTTGATGCGCTGTTCGCTATAAACTTCAGAAATTGTAAAATTCCGCAATTATGTCCCACCATCCAGATGGAACCAATCAGGGTCCACCATTTAAATACCACTGCCCTAAAAACTCTCACATTGAAATGAGATTGTTGTGTAGATTAATTAATATTTCTCTCATGTTTCTCAGCTCGTCTGCCTGTTCCTGTCATCATCAGAAACTCTTCACAATGTTCATCATCATCATCAAATTGTTCATTGGTGTGTTCATCATCAGTGTTGAGTGTGTGTGATGCGACTCTGTCCTGGTACGCAGGAATGAGTGTATTGTCCAGCATCAGTGTGTGTGATCTCAGCATCAGTCTCTCTCTACCTCTGGAGGTGGAATATCAGGATAAAAACACCTACAGCTGTGTGCTGAACAATCCCATCAGCAACCAGACCACACATCTGGACATCAACACACTCTGCAGACACACATGTGCAGGTACACCACCACTCATCAGATGTGTGTGTGTGTGTGTGTGTGTGTTTACTGACCTGATCTCTAATGTCTCTCTTTAGACATCACAACATCTCCTCCAGTGTCTCTGATAGTGTTGATCTCTGCTGCTGCTGCTTCCGGATCTCTGTTGATTATAGTTACAGTCGTGATCTGCTGCATCTGCAGGAAACGTAAAATAATAGGTCAGGAGATCAAGCAATTAATGCATATTTTAAAATATTTATCTTTTATGAGGCACTAATTTTAATATTAAATTGAAAACTGTTGTTTTAAACATGTATGCATTATGTTATTGTTCATTTAGTTCAAACCCAGGCGAAAGACATGAAGGATTCTGCATTATGTAAACCAACAAGACGGAAAAAGGTAAGATTATTATGTTTTGCAGTCAGTTAATTTGTTACATACAGTCAGTGACCAGATGTGGATAGTCCACTGTGTTAATTATTACCTTCAGGAGGACATTACTAGATGAAGCATGTTTTTATGCAACAGTGTAAAAATGAACATACAGTATTTCCATTTTGCAGACCTATAAATATTTTTTTTCTTTAATAACAATAAAATATGATTATATTCAATGATCTAGTAAAAAGTTTATAGGCTTCTCAGCGTAGCTACTGTTATGACTATGTCACGATTCACATTCATTGCATATTTTTTCCATATGAAAGTGAACTATACTCCTCCGTTGCAGTGCTTGGATGTGTCACTGTGTTCTCACATCTTTACCACAAACATATATTCACTTCTTTTTAAACACAAAAGTTTTTATCCTTTTGTACACAGTACATTAACACTTTCATAGACTTATTCACATTACATTTAAACAACTTATTTATTGCATAACTTAAGTTGCTCAAGCTAGTGGCATATATACATCAATATAAATCATTTAAATGGTTGCCCTTGTGTTGCTTGACTGTCTGTTTTTCCTTGCAGAAATCAAAGGAGCCCATTTATGGAAATATACACCAAAAATGTTAATCAAATACAACATCTCAGCCTCATCTAATGTTTTTTTTTCTTTTGCACCTGCCCTCTCATAAGCACTATTGTTATGGTTTAATTTAGTGGTGCAAAAAAGGCAGAAACTTAACTAAATCTTCTATTTTTAGCTTAAGGACTTTGGCTTAACACATGGAGACTTTATAACATTTTGATCTTACTCTTTTACTGGTATGGATCACCTGGTCTACTCTTGCTTTAATAAATAGAAAACTTAATATGGAATGCATAGTTTTTCTTTTTACAGTTTCACACACACGTTCTGGATATTTAAGAACAACACATCATCGCCCTCTAGTGTCCAAATCATAAAATTACATCTCTAATAATAGTAGCCTACTACTTTTCCGACAAAGTGAGCTATAAATAAATGTTTCAGTTCTCACAGAGGAAAAGCTGAAAATAACTAGTGATGGGCGCTTTCAAAACACGATTCATGAAGCTTCGAAACCTTTATGAATCAATCAGCCAGCCAGTCACCCTTCTTCTTTTATTCATTTGCTGTCAAAGTCACATGATTTCAGTCAACGTCATAGCCACGTGATTTTTTTTACCTGATCACGGATCGATTTTATACATTTCTAGACATTTAATTACACATACGTATAACTAAAAGAAAAAGCTGTAGTTAAAAAGTTTCATTGGTCTGATAATCAATAAAACAAAACAAAAAACCAAATCCTACAATTTAATAAAATTACGCATATTATAAAGACACTTGTTGTTTAATGCAACTATATGATTTGTTAACTGTCTTTAATAGATTAAACCTTCAATAAAACGTTTACAATGGGTTTGGAAAAGGTGTTTGTACGCATGTTTGGTCTGAGTTTTCGCTGTCCTGACCAGCAGGGGTCGCAAGCGTGTGGAGATTCGAGCGATTCAAAACAGTGAATCATTATTTTAATATTAGAATAAAAATATCCTACATATTTTCACTGAGTGTCTGCATTGATAGTAAATCGCCCTGAAGAACAATTAATTCTTGCTAGGACCAGAAGACAGACCTGAACCTGTAATGATAATTACAGATTGACTGTCTTTAGTTTTAACCTATGGTTAACTTTAGTTTTAACCTATGATATTTACTGTCATCACATTCATTATCGAAATTGAGTGGCGCCATCTGGTGGGTTTGAATAAGCAACATTACAGCACATGCAACAGGTTCCTTTAAAAATAAGAGTCATGTGACATAATGTGAAAATTGTGTGTAACTTGATGTGCATGTGAGGTGTATCTCAGTTATGTTTTAATGCTGATTCAGAGCTCACGTTTCATAAATTGGATCGATTTAACGAAATATTGAACTGTATTTTAACTACTCACTAATGGCAAAAACACTGAAGCACTTAAAAAAACAAACTGAGAAATAGTTTTTTTTTCTACATAATGATTGTCAGTAGAGAAATATGTCTAAAATCATAATGTAACATACAAAGAAATAAAAAGAACATTGATTGACACATTCACACTTATCTCCATCTCCATCGGACAAAATTAATCTAACGGATGATGCGAAATAATGAGTCATATAAACCACATCCTGATCCACACCCCCACAATCTGATAGTATTCACTGCATATTTTCAATAAACCACAATAACATCAGTTTCTCAGGCTCCAGCTGTTTGTGTTATCTGTTGCGTTCAGGACTTTTATTTTGAAGTTTCTCAATGACGTTTAGTTTGTAATCTCTCGCTTCCTGTTTATCGGTTCCTCATTAGCGTTGGCAAGTGAACATCAAAAACCAGATGAACTATGTCCAACTCATATTTGGCCACAGAACCCTTATCTACCCCCTTCACTCGCTAGTGTCTTGTTTATTCAGTATGTAAATATAGTTATTATAATCCTGTAGTTTATCTGAGCACCCGTGTCACAATTTGATAACGCTTTGAAAATAGATCCACGCTTCAACTCTCTCCTTCCGTCTGTGTGTTTTTTTTACCACAGGTGGAAATTTTAAAGAAAATATAAGGAAATACACTAAACTTTTAAATAGTTAAATATGATAATTGTGTTACTGTTTCTCTCCCTCTATAGTAAGTCAAACAGTGCTCATCTTGTTTGTTTTCTCCAGTAGATTAAAGTGTCTAAAATCTGATAATAGTGTCAGGACAGGAAGAAGCTCTTCACCTACAAACTAAACATTCTCATGCACCGAATGCACATTCTCACCTGCAAGACGTGTGTCCACCAACAGATCAAACCACATTTCTGTAGAAAACCGACCGCAGCAGTTTCAGTCTCACTCACAACATGAACTTCAGAGAAACTGGCACTGAGAGGTGGCACACGATTTTATCTATGTACTTTGGGTTTTTCCATTCAATCAAAATGTGGAAAATATACATTTAAAATCACTTTTTCTGCTTTCTGAAATTTCCAGAAAAGGTGCAAATAAAATCAAAAATCTGTGGTTTGTTAATCCTCCAGTCATGATTTTAGTCAAAATTATTTCTTAACAGCACACAAATAAATAATAAATGAAGAGTAAAATTAATTCATCCATAAACAGGATTAAAAGTTTAATAAAGAAACCGTGTAAAATGAAGAGTTAAAATGACTTTCCTCTCACAAAAAGACACAAACATTTCTAGTTTCCGTGTTTTCACACTCTGAGGTGTTGCCCGTACACAGCTAACATTCGTTTACCACTTTTTTTGAGACATTCGAGCATTTGTGGTCGGAAATGTACAGTCTTTTGCCCTCATCTCAACAGCCAGTACAAAAGTTCACCCTAAGTCAGCAATATCTGAGGCATAAAGATTAATAAAAGAAAAGTAAACATACATTTCAAAATCATGATAATGGTAAACACATCAAAATGATACTAATGAGAAACACATCAACATCATAATAATGATTTCTTAAAATATGAGGATGACATTTGATTAAATGATACAACATAAGAAATATATATATTTTTTTCTTTTTTGATTCATCAACCTTCATTTAACTGAGAAAAGTACAAAGAAGAGAATCATTGACCAACTTAATATTTATTTTGTAAATATGAACAAATTTTGATAGCTACACACTCCAACATGTTTACCACTGTGTCACATCACCTTTCCTTGAGTAACACAGATTCAAGTTGCATTTCTTGATGCATTAGCAGATCAGGGGTCAAAGGTCACGCACATTCAACACAGGTCTCCTGCCTTGCACTTACACGGCCTAAGATTTCTCAGAATCTGTTCACAGTATAATATATGGAAGATGGCGAAACACCGGGATACTTTGTAATCCTGCATTGCGAAATTTTTGAATTGTTTGTGAATTCATGATATTTGGCACAAAGTGGTGAACCCATGACCCATTTTTTGGCTGATGCTCCTTTTTATACCCACATACGACACCCTCACCTATTACCAGTTCACCTACTTATTGTGGGCTGTTTCAAATCAGATTAACTTTGATGTTGTGAGGTCAACAGGGGGCGCTCACTCTTGGGTCTGTGTGGGTCCTAAAGCCCCAGTCGAGTGACGGGGGACACTATACCGTAACAAGCACCGTCCTTCGGATGAGATGTTAAACCGAGGTCTTGGCGGTGTGGTCATTATGAATCCAATGGCATTTCTCGTAAAGAGGGGTCTGGCTAACGTCAGACCACGTCTCATTGACCACATGTTCATGTTCTTGTATTTGAGGCGTTTCTCTTTCATTTTACATCATACCTAACTTTGTTTAAAGTCTGTGCAGCCATAAAAATCTAAATCTGTTTATGTTTACAAAATACATAAGTTGGTCAGTGAAAACATTGGACTTATTTTCCTCAACGCATTTCTCTGTATTTTGTACTTTATCGACTCTTAGTCAATTAAACGTGCAGTAGAAATGTCCCTACATTTCTGAAAATTGGGTTGTACCATGAAATGTAGTTTAATCACAATATTCTCGTACTTTTTATCCATTTAACTAGCCTGACTTCGACATACTCATATTCTGGTCAGAGTATGTGTCTGAAACCGCTCCGTAGGGCTTTGATTATGAGGCGTGTCTTAACCGAACCAGGAAAAAAAAACCTCTGCACTCAATTGGATAGTCGGTAAACCTACAACCAATCAGAGCAACGCAGTAACCCAGACAGCAAACTGACATTGAATCAACGTGGAAACGACGTCTCTCATGACATTGAAACAACGTTGATTTTGCTCATCGAATTAACGTTGAACCAACGTCAGACGCAGCATTCTTCAAAGCTAAATGAAAATCGAAAATTGGTTTGATTTCAAAACGTTGAAACAACGCGTTGATTTCAAGTTGATTTTCCGTTAGTTTTGAAAGAATGACGCGTCTGACGTTGGTTCAACGTTAATTCGATGAGCAAAACTGTCAGATCAACGTTGTTTCGATGTCATATTTCCACGTTGATTCAATGTCAGTTTGCTATCTGGGAAGTCAACTACTTTGCATACAGTTGTCAACAGAACTTACTTGTTTTAGGAGTAAAAAAACGAGTGTTGCTTCTTTTACTTGGTCCTCCATGAGTGCGACCAAAAGAGAAACCACAATGACCACAGGCTTTTCATTACGTCCCATCTTCTTAACGACCGTCAGAGCCAGCTGATAAGTTACACTTTTGCCGAATATCTTTCCGATCGACAAATGCCTTGATTGCAGTTTTTTGTTTGTCTATTAAAATTAACGCGCTATCGATTTATTTCACAACAGACGCGACAGTGGAATCTATACATCTCGATTCTCCAGCTGCCGTCATCTCTGAGGGAAACCAGTTAAGCGCTCTTTGATATCGTGATGATTCAACATGACATCATGACTTTTGCGTAAACATATACGCCACTTTCGAGTCAGGTGGGGTGTTATCTCTACGCATTTTGAGCTATTCGTGTGTATCCGCGTGTATGTGTATATGTCTAACGTCCGCGTCATTCCGCGTGTCTGTACACCATAGACATATACACTAGACCTCACCTTGGGGTTCTAAGCATGCGTCAAAACCGCCGCCATCTTGGAACAGGGGTCTTGTCATAGGAAGTAGCTAGGTAACGCTGCTATCTCTGCCTTTACTTCGAATTCATTGATGGTGGCGGACTTGTGTGCAGCGTATGATGTTCACGGATGAAATCTGAACTAGGAAGAATGTTTTAAAAAAAAAAAATTTTTTTTTTCTTTTTGGAATCAATGATAAATACATGTCTGACCGTTGGAACAAACCAAAAAAACAAGAAAAATCGCATTCATGATGATTTATGGTG